CCACCACATCCCAACCCCTCTCCCACCACGTCCACCCCCACCCCGAAGCAGCAAAAAGTGTAGGGACACTCCAACCTGTACTAATCTCTACCCAATTTTCAATCAGCTACGCCCACCACTTGCATCATCTAATTTGCCCACAATTGTCACTACCATCCCAATGCATGATTGGATGTGTACTTCTATGCGGTGCTTGGAAAGGACACGTGGGACCATAGGGCACCCTGCCACTTAGCCCAGCCACAGCAGGAAATGAAAATGCCGATGATTATATCACAGGTACTTTCCTACTTGTTTTTTTTTACAGCCATTTCACTTTTATTGATACAAATTATGATGAAGAGAATTAGCAGAACATTTGGGAGGCCTGTTGTCAATATCACGGAGATCAGCTTTAAATTCTAGATCATGTCATTTGTTTTATTGTCATAAATGAAGTTCACACCTAAACGATGGGGTGCCCTGCGGCAATGCACGAACATTAACATAGTGCGTTAAGGTGAGCTTCAGTAGGCAACCCACTCAAAAGGAATGGGCTGGAAACGCACCTGAACAACCCAAAAACTGGACATGCATCATTTTATGGCAGCGCAACGCAGCTCGTGTTAGTGCAATGCAGCTTAGCTCTGCCCGTAAGGTGCTTTGGTGGTGCCATTCAGAATAAGTGGCGCCGTATCGCACCATTGCAAATAGCGCGTGGTGCTCCAACGTGTACTAGAATGTGTGTGTTCCAGCAATGCAATAATGTGAATGGGGCCTTATTATACGATACATACAGGGTCTAACAACTATTCTTTTTCTTCTTTTGCTCACTTTCCCCTGAACATGCTATATCACCTCTTTAATATAAAAAAGAAGGAGCCCTGGGCAGACTGGCTTGGTCCTCACTTACATTTCAAGGCTTCTTTGCTATGACGCAATTATACCTTTATAATTTCAACATCATGTAAATGCCTATTCAGGTCAAAATACAAGCAGGAGATGTTGACATAACTAATCCTTACATACAGCCATGAATGCTGGGAGTTGTAGTTCTACACCTAGACAAGGGCAGGTATGGGCTAAGCTTTTATTCCAAAACGTTTAAATGCCCTTAGGGGATTATTTGTGTTAACGTGCACAGTTTAGGAATGAGCTCATTGTAACATTTGCCTACATACATTTTTCCTCGGCTGCATGTAGCCCATCCTAGGCACTTTGTGCGCTCATTAGAAATTCAATTAGGCATTCTGGAGAGGTGGTGTTAACATTAATGTCAGCACTCAGTAATAAAGAGCTTTATGCAGACTCTGGACTGTGTCCAGCCAAGCATGAATGAAATCCTCTGGAAGAAACTAATTGCCTGAAGAGGCTGGACAATTAAGTTAAGTAACTGCTACCAGAAAGCCTCAGAGTGCCCCTTTCCGGGATGCTGGAAGAGCGAGGACTGTGTGGTCTGCGCCTTTCCCTAGTATTTTCAGAATGTTGAGTAGTGTGTGTTAAAGAAGAACTTGGGGCAGACATTTTAGTCATTCTCGCCGTGAGGCTTCCCCCATACTGCAAGGGTTAACTGCTCCTTTTTTTTAACCTAGGGTCAAAAAAGTTATGCTCAGCTCACCCGATCCTCCGAGCCGGCAGAGCTCCCTCCAGCTGCTTTTCTTCACCTCATCAGCAATGGAATGTCCCTTAGCGTCCTATAAACTGTATTGGGTGTAATGACTCAAGGATTCCTAGACTGCTGCACAGGAGGGGGAGACACCCTACACGGACCAGTCTAAGGGCCAGCTGGCTCAGAGGATCAGGCGAGTATAATTTTATTTTTACTCTAAGTAAAAACGAACAGTTAACCCTTGCAGTGCCGGGTTAGCCCCATTGCAAGGGTTAATAAAAAAGTCTGCTGGAGTTCTTCTTTCAATCGTTTCTATCTGCACATTTAGGTATTTTCTCTTTCTGAATGCATTTTACTAATACAGCACTAGGAGTTTAGGGTGCGGGTTAGACGTCACTTGAGCAGCTAAAAGGTAAAGAAAACAAAATGCATAGAGGCAAAAGAAAATCTGAATATATCACATCACATGAAGTTAGTCTTGGACCTGTCACACCATCTCCTCAGTCATACCAAAAGCTGGCCATATGCATTAAGATTCTTGTTCAGAGAAATAAATCGTTTGATTCCCCCATCCACACTACATAGCATGGTTGGAGGAATCTCCCCTGCTGGCTATTGTACAGTAATACCTCGGTTCACAATCGCAATTCAGTTCGCGAACAGAAAGTTCGGCAAAATTTTGCTTTCCGTTTGCGAACTCCACATCAGGTGATTAACATGACCGCGACCATCTCTGCCACGTGGTGGTGGCTTCCTCTAGTCGAGATCGCAGACAGACCTGTGCACACTTGCTGTGAAGCTTATTTGTGTGCTTTTTAGCACATACAGTACTGTACAGTATTATGTATTACATTGAACGTTATGGGGAAATTTGATTCGGTTGCGACCAGAATCATGGAACTAATTAAGTTCGTGAACCGAGGTACCACTTTATTCTGAAAGCTGACGCCTCCAAGTGTCAGATCCCCCCCAACAGTGATGGTGGCTGACTGGCTGCAGTCATTGTTTGGCCTTCAATTTTTCATCCTGTTCCATTTCTATTTTTTTCAGCCGACTTTCGTCTAGCCGGGTGGTGCCGGCTGCAAAGTGCGAGTGACTTTTTGATTAGTTATGTTTGATTTGCAGAGGCATCTGCAGTCACTCCAGCACCCGCCCGACTTTCGTGGGTTTTCTGGTCAGGTGTGTGATGGGATCTACTATGTATTGAGGGACAGAATGTTTACACCTTATACTAAAGAAACTGAAGAACACCAGCTGTTATTTTAATATGATGTCAAAATATGAAAATGACTTCCATGTTAAAGTGACACTAAACTCACGAGTTATGTATCTTATTTGTGTATCACTCGGCGGTAGATCCTCAAATCATCTCTGAATTGGTGCCGACACTGTCCTTCCTTCTGGAGGGGGGCTACTTTTGTTTCTCATGATCCTTGTGTGTGTTGTAAAGTAGTCACCGCTCCAAGCTCGCTCCTGTGGTGGACTACAATCACACATTTAGTTTACCAATTTGTACTGAGATTGTAGTCCATTATGGGACTTTACACTTTACTTTACAACACACACAGGGACCATGGGGGAATAAAAGTGGCCACCCTCCAGAAGGAAAGACAATGTCAGCACCAATTCAGAGATGATTTGAGGATCTACAGCCGAGTGATACACAAATAAGATACATTTTTGATAATAGTTAAGGTACTTAAAAGGAGAACTATGGGGCTAAGGCTTTTCCCCATAGTTCTCCTTAGGGTAATGGGAGGACACAAACTAGCGTCCTCCTGTCACCCTAAGCTCAGTATACCGCAAGCTACTGCTCGCGGTATACTGAGACGGCGCAGCTGAAGCGGATCCCGACAATTATGCCGGGATCCGCCCAGCTGCGTGAGTGACAGCTGGGCGGAGGCAGAGCCAGCTGTACCCGCCCCCTCCCCCGTCAGATCCGCCAGTCAGCAGTCAGCGCTGGAAGATCAGAGCGTGGAGAGGGGAATCCAGCCCCTCCCCCTGTCACGGCAGAGAGCTGTGACAGGATCGAGAGGTGAGCGAACGCCGGTATGTGTTCGCTCACCTCCCGATCTACTGAGCCGACCTGTGACAGTCTCATTGTCACAGGTCGGCTAGAACTATGAGGTGAGTGAAAAGCACTCACCTCATAGTTCTCCTTTAAATGCATTTTTAAGATGTAACTCCTGAATTTAGTGTCACTTTAAAGCGTACATGAGACTGAAGTGATTGGGTTTTCATGCAGTTCAGATAAAGAGGGAAAAGGTGAAGTAAATATACCTGCTGCTCCACAGTCACAGCATATATCATTCCCCGGCATCTTCTGGATGTCAGATATAATTTCCTTGGTCAGCTCCTGGACTATGTTGTTCTCGCCTGTACTGTGGTCTCCTTTGAAAGCATTGTTTAGTGCTTCTTCTTTGCTGTTCTGGAGAACGGACATCCATCTAGATATGGCAGACAGAATAGTGTTAGCCACGTTCTAGAGGAAGAGGGTCTTTTCAGCTTTGGAAAACCTCAACAATACATTAGTCTAGAGGAGGCCAAATCCATTAAAGGATTTAATGGATCCTTGTAGCCCAAACAAGGATCCATTCAAAATATATACAATATATATATTTTGGATAGATAAATACTTACCATCAAACTTTAACAATAGACTCTTAAAACTATAGCAAAAAGTAGGCTGATGTGACTGGAGAAATTAACAGGTCAACTTTATTACCAGCTATTCCCAATTCTCTACTGTATGGCCCATCCTGGCTTATCTTTCGTGATAACTTCTGGACTTACACATCAATCCCTCTTTTAGCATTCTTTGATTTTGGTTGTTTCCCTATCAACCCCTGGTGGGGTTTCTCGCTCCTGCTCATGTGCCCCCTGAAGTTCTCTTTATTCTACTTATTCTAATTTTCTCTATGTTCTTTCCTCTTTTCTCCTCAGTCTCTTCCATTGCTCTTCCCCTTGATGCTACTGCTTTTTATCTTGCACAACCCGAGACAAGGGGTTGGGCAAGTCTGTGGTAGGGTGCCCATATCTGGCCAGTTGATGTTACTAGTATTGGGTGAGGGTAGTAGATGCAGACATAATTATGGTATCTGCCTTGTACCTGGGAGATTTCACTGTTCCTATGTTTTGTTTTTCTTGTTCTGGTTTCAAAAGCTTCATAAACTTTTAATATTAAGAAAAAAAAACTATAGCAAACTATTCCAATAAGGTTCCCGCCACATAAGATTAAGTTTGACAGCCACCCTCTCCTTCTTGTCTGCCCAATAGACCCCAAGTAATTCTCCATGCCTGCTCTGAACTCATTCTACTCCTTTATTTCTCACTGCATATTTCTTTTATACCTGAGTAGTTGGGTTATACTGTTCAATTTGGATCTTTGAAACACAAAGCTTGCACTGATATGTACTGGCTACACAAGTGTCTGAACTGCACTGTATCCCATTCAGTAACGGTTTATCCGCAAAACTGTTTCACTCTTAGAATTTAATAAAAATCCCATGGAAAAGGAATCCTCACGGACTTTATAGCCCTGTCCATATGAATACAGCTCTGTACAGCACATCATATAGCAGAAATGATGGGGTTCTCTAGATTAGCACAACAGAGGGGTCCCAGTTTCAGGATTCCCAAAGTGCTTCAGCATCTCTATTCTGGGGACATCTTAATAAATAATAAAGATTACTTAGGGATATGTATTGCAAGCTGGCATGGGAATGCAGCTTCTGTAAACAGACCTGACAATGTTTGCTCCCAGGCTCCACAATAACTTTGAAAGTCCTCACCTGTTTTAGGTAAACACAGTTGCCTTTTTCCCTTCACCTTGTAGGACAGGTTGGGTCACAAGTATGAAATTCCAGTTTTGCAACACTGAGATGACTTTTTGAACATAAACTATGCAGTTAAAATAAGGTTATGAAAGTCTGGGAATTTATTACATTCCTTGCAATGTGTACCTTAGCAAAACATGTCTGACCTCTGAAGAGGTAAAGGGTAATAAAGAAGGTTCTATTCAGTAACAAGCTGTATTTCTGCAAGTGAACTGAGGACGAAGTTCCCTGTCATCCTTGTCCAGGTTAGCACCATTCACTTTCAGTGTGTGTTCCATAGGCGAAAGACTACAGAAGTGACCCTATTCAAGAGGCTCCATAAAGCAACATTACTCAACCTTTTTTCAGTCATGACACCCTTTAAAAGTATGCAAAAAAGTTTGAGGCACCCCAGTCTAACATGTAAAAAAGACGACTTTTGGGACCTCCAAAATCCATACCAGAGCCCTATCCATGATTGTGCTCTGGTATGGATTTTGAGGGGGTACCCCATACAAAAACAAAAAAAAGGGTTCCCCCCCCCCCCCCCTTCAAATCAGAAGCCCTCCTTCACATTAGAGCCTTCCCCCTCGCGTATTAGAATCCCGCCTTTTACATTACAGCCCCTCTATACATAAGGAGTGCCCTTCTTTAACACTGGAGTTCCCCCTCTCAAACATGGAGCTCCCCTTTACATCAGAAACCCCTCATCCTTCAAATCCAAAAGCCTCTTCAATCAGAATCTGCCCTTTCACATTAGAGCCCCCCTTCAAATCAGAAGTATGTCTGCACCATGTAAAGGCACGACACTGTGCAAACATTTTGAGGCACCCATGAGGAAGGAGAAGGCACCCCACAGAGTGCCATGGTACCCTGGTTGAGAAAGGCTGATCTAAAGAATGGCATGCAGTGCAGACAAGGGTACCAACCACTGTGAGAAAGATGGTCAGAAAAGAAGCCTTGGTCAAGTTGATGTAGACATTACATTGTTGGTTTTCTTTGGAAACCAGCTAGGAACTCCTTTGTCTTTAAAGATTGCGGGAGTTAAATAATGGCCACACTATAAAGCGAATAAATAATGCAAAATGGTATGACCAGTCTAAATCCTTGGGTTAGGAATGAATGGGTGGAAGCAACAGATGTGCTTATGGTCTATTTCACTGTGAAGAGACTGTTGCTGGCTAAACGTTTACTTAGTAAACCAGTCATAAAAATATCCCATTGAGCCAGTATGTGTCTGTACTGTCACTCTATCAATCCAATGTTCCGAGAACAGCATGCAAACCAAAGTTCCAGAAGCCGGCTTTCTTATAATAAAAAAAAAAACAGTGATTAAGATACCTTTAAATGGTGTATGTACTGTACACTGCCTGGCCAAAAAAAAGTCACCACCTGGATTTCGGGGCAGTGTTATGATCTGGGGTTGCTTCAGTTGGTCAGGTCTAGAGGTTCACTAATATTATTTCTCCAAAAAATTAGGTCTGCAGCCTACCTGAATATACCGAATGACCAGGATCAATAGATTTTTTCTTTCCTGATGGCACGAGCATATGCCAAGATGACAATGCCAGGATTCATCGGGTTCAGATTGTGAAAGAGTGGTTCAGGGAGCATGAGACATCATTTTCACACATGGAAATGATGTCTCATGCTGGCTGAACCACTATTTCACAATCTGAATCCGATGGGTCCTGGCATGGCCATCTTGGAATATGTCCAATGTGCCATCAAGGGGAAAAAAATCCATTGATGGAAAGTCCTGTTCATTCAGTATATTCAGGTAGGCAGCTGACCTCAGTTTTTGGAGACATAACATTGCCGAACCTAGACCTGACCAACTGAAGCAACCCCAGATCATAACACTGCCCGAAATGCAGGTGGTGACTTTTTTCAGGCCAGGCAGTGTATAACAGAGAGGTGAACCCAATCCCATTGTTCTCACATTAGAATTTATTTTACAAACTTGTATCCAAACATTGTTCTTCTCTCCCATTGCAGGACTGCTATGGGAATGGTGTTGCACTATACCATGGTGAGGAAAACAGTCTTGCCTCATCAAAACCAAAAAAATAAGACTGGGTGCAATTGTAATTTGTCTTTCATTACAAGCACATCACCCTCATATTCCTATGAAGCGCCTATAGGAAATTACCTCAAAATCTGATTAATGCTGTTTATTTGGCAAATACAAATGCTTATAATAAAAGGTGTATTTTCACAAATTCTGGGAACTTATTTTATTGTGTAAACACTTTGTAGAATAGTTGAAAGCTGTAAAGTGTATCCATTCAGAAGTGTAGCCCCTAGATAAAGCTCTAGATGGAGCAATATATATATATAT